CCTACCAGCAGACAAGGGCAATGCGACAGTGGTAATGAACACATCTGACTACCAAACCAAGCTAACCAACCTACTCCAAGACCCCACATACAAACCCCTAAAGACAGACCCCACCACCTACCTAGAAAAAACTACCAAATCCAAAATAAAAGCCTCCCCCATCAGTGAAGAAATCCAGCAAGGAATCATACCCAGAGAAAAATCATCCAGATGCCCCAAGCTTTATGGTCTCCCCAAAATACACAAAGAAGGAACCCCACTCAGACCAATAGTCAGCTCCATAGGCTCACCTCTACAAAACCTGGCCAAATTTCTTGCCAAACAATTACAACCCTATGCAGAATCCATCAACTCACACGTAAGAAACTCATTCCAGTTCATCGAGATCATAAAGAAACAAAACTTACAACCTAGCGACCTACTAGTAAGCTTCGATGTCACATCCCTCTTCACCCAAGTGCCAATAAAAGAAGCCTTGACAGCCATCCAAAACAAATACAACCCCCCCAAGCACATCCTAGATCTAACCAACCACTGCCTATCCAATACTTACTTCACCTACAATGGACAAAAATACAAACAAATAGAAGGAGCACCTATGGGATCACCCCTCTCACCTGTCATCGCAAACCTCTACATGGAACACTTTGAAACACAAGCTCTAGAAAAATACGACCACAAACCCAAACTCTGGCTCAGATACGTAGATGACACCTTCATAATCTGGCCACACGGGAAAGAAAAACTGAACAACTTCCTCACATACCTCAACAGTCTACACCCCAAAATACAATTCACCATGGAAACAGAAGCCAACAATCAACTTCCCTTCCTAGATGTCTTGGTATACAAAAGATCCGATGGCTCCCTAGGACACACCATCTACCAGAAGAAAACACATACTAACCGCTATCTACATGCACTCTCACACCACCACCCAGCACAGATCAATTCCGTAGCCAAGACACTCATCTCCAGAACAAAATGCTTAGCCGATGAACAACACCAAAAAACCGAACTACACACTCTCACCAACGTACTCACAGCCAATGGATTCCAAAGAAAGAAGATTACCCACCTAATCCAAAAAGAAGCCCCAACCAAAATCCAAGACAGAGAACAAGAAAACGGAAAAGCCCTCCTCCCATATATAAAAGGCACTACAGACAAAATTAGCAAGATCCTCCAAAAACACAACATCAAAACAGCATTCTGCACAAACAAAAAAATATCCACCATCCTAAGAAACCCCAAAGACAAAATCGAATTAGAAAACCAAGGAGTATACGAAATCCCCTGCACAGCCTGCCCTAACACATACATTGGACAAACTAACAGAAGAATAAGCGCACGCATTGAAGAACATAAGAACTCAATCAAAAAAGAAGAAACGACCTCTTCCCTGGTCCAACACCTCAAAGCCACAGGACATGAAATTGATTTTAAAAATACCAGAACTATCGCCAAAACCGAACACTTCAACAGCAGAATAATCAGAGAAGCCATAGAGATAGAAAAACGCCCACACAGCATGAACAAACGAGATGACACCTCCCGCCTTCCAGCCATTTGGAAACCCGCCCTCATGAACAGACGAGTACCTAACATGAAGAAGGACACTGGACCCACACCCATGAGAGCCACACAAGATGCCACCACCACACTTCCATGTAGAAAACAGACTCCCACCCATTCAGAAAATGAGAAACGACCATGGACCAGAAGCTGCACTGCAGCTGCATCACTACCCACTTCAAACCCCTCTGAGCCATACATGAAGCAAACCAACACCCACTATGAAGATGCAGCAGGACCACGAACTAGAAGCCAAACAGCAAGATCACAACTCTCCAGCTCAAATCCCCCAGCAACTAAAACTAACCTGAGCACAACCAAGCCCCCTCCTGAACAGAACACGCCTCCAACCAATCAGAACACGGCTAACCCCCCAACCAATCAGAACACAGCCAAACCCCCTACCAATGAGAACACACCCCCACCCAATCAGAACACAGCCAAGCCCCCACCCAATCAAGTTCCACCCCCACTGGCAGTTAAAAGGAGGAAGCAGCTGCAATCTCCATTACTCTGAGAAGCACAGAGCTGGAGACAGAAGCCTGAAGATGATGAATGAGACTTCATCGAAACGTTGCCTAGATACTTCAAATCTTACGCGGGAGAAAACCCGAACAACCAAAGATCTACATATAAATACCCGCGAGAACCTCAGAAAACAAATATATATATATATATATATATATGATGATAAAGCCTCATCATAACCTAAATAGCCAGGATTTATTCGAAGGCATTTATTTATAGTATCTAGGCATTTTCTGATTTTATAAGACCTTAGATCTATAACAAAAGAACCCCAAAATTCCAAATACAATGATCTGATGAGTACAGCATGAAACAAAGCCATGTTTCTGTTAGCTGGACAAGTCTGCACACTTGCATAGAGGAAAAACTGTTTTACAGGCTGTGGGAATGGTGCTGATATCCTGAATATTGCACCTCTGTTTCTGCAGCTGCCAAAGGATTTTTCCTGTGACCCTGAGGACACAGACAAACCCCCAAGTGGCTCAATGACTCTCTAAAATAATGCAAATAACCAGCTGTCTGTTAGGAATATAAATCCTTCCATTCCCCACTATCCATTAAGAGCTGAAGAAACTTCTTGGATGAGAAGTAAAATGTCTTCAAAGAAAAACAAGGAAGTCCAGTTGCCTCTTGAAAAAGCATCTTTGGGACAGTGATAAATATCTACACTTCTCAATAGTAATAGATAAGCATACAGTCTTCTGCTGAGTCTCCCTTTGGAGAAACATTTCCAAAGTTGTTACAATGCCTTGGCCTTGACCAGTTGTGGGATTCAATTTTTTTTACTACCAGTTCTGTGGGCGTGGCTTAGGGGGCGTGGCAGGGGAAGGATACTGTAAAATCTCCAGTCAGAGGTGGGATTTGCCGGTTCTCCGAACTACTCAAAATTTCTGCTACCGGTTCTCCAGAACTGGTCAGAACCTGCTGAATATCACTTCTGGCCTTGACCAAGATAAACTTGGAAAAGAAAATCTGTTTTGAACTTTAGAAAGATTATCAGGAATCACATTTCAGGTGGTCTCAGTGAGTTATGCAAGATTCATATCCACTCTAAAAATCAAGAAACATTAGAGTGGCCCTAAATTGCCCAAGAACTGCAAGAAAGACAAATTGGTATCATGAGCATGATAACTAAAATGTGAAATGTCACTGCTTTCCCCCCCGCCCAAAAAAATAACAAGCCTTCATTATTAAGATATTAATGTGCAACATATTCTAAATCTATATGATTAAGTATGATCTTGGTAGTCAAAGGGAATCCAGAGTATCCCAAATCTATTTCACTTAAAAAGCGTAATTACCAGACATAAAGCAGGTTCTGCGCTGCTAACTGACCAGATCTTTAATGTTCTGTCTTCAGAAGATGAAACAACCCAATTATTGTCATGGCTCCAACCTACTGAGGTAATAGCACCATCGTGTCCTATTAAAAATAAATACATTTAATAATTATCAGAAATTCTTAAGAAATCACAAAGTAAAATCTCACATTAATCAGCTATGATGTCACACTATTTTTTTTCTCACCTTTTTCTGAAACTGCAGAATGTTCTGAAGCACCAAAAGAGTATCTAGAAGTTACACTCCTCGATACAACCCAAAGTATTTTTATACAGAAATATTGATGTTCCCTTGTGCATAATCATAAACCCATATAGAGACTTCCTAACAAGGCTTTCTGTGGCACAATAAGGATGAATATTAAATGGCAAGTAGGATGATCAAATTTTATCAGGGCCCAATTTGGTGCTTTTTTCTTTCTTTTCATAGATCACATTTCATACAGGAGAACTTGAAAAACAAACTTTTATAAAGAAAAATAAACATATACAGAGCTGGGGCTTTAACTCAGGGCAGATCTCTTTCAGGGTCCAGGATAGGAGACATACATTTTGTGAGAATGGGAGTGGGTTTAGATGGTTATTTGGTTTTAATTTTCCTTTTCTAAGGTATGAACCCTAGAATTTACAGATGTCTGTTTTGTTCACCAACAAAAGCCAGTAGAAAGCTGTACAGGTAATAATCACTTAACAACCATTCATTTAGTGACCATTCAAGTTGCAATGGCACTGAAAGAAGTTACTTGCAACTCATCCTCTCATCTACAACCATTGCAGTACTCCCCACATTACTATGATCCAGATTTTGGCAACTTACAGCAATTGCAGCATCCTGCAGTCATATGATTGTCATATGTTACCTTCGCAGCCAGTGTCCAACAAGCAAAGTCAATGATAAAGCCAGCAGAAAGTCACAAGTCATAGTCACATGGTGTCTTGTTTAATAATTGTGGGTGATTTGCTTAATAACCATAGCAAAAAGGCTATAAAATTGGGTAGGGTCCACATGATGCCTCACTTAATGACTGCACTGCTTAAAGATGAATTTTCCAGTTCTTATCCTCTAAGTTGAGGACTATCCTGTATTTCCAGTTACAGGTTCTTTTCTGATAAACTTAAGCAGCACAATTTCAAGAAACATAAAGAGCTGCAAAAAAGGGAGTTATGGTCTTTATGCAGCCCATAGGCTGTCCATTCCTGCTCTATGTGAATCAGAAGAAAAAATATAAAGGTGGCACATTCAATGTTTGTAACTTCAAATATGTTTAATTCAAATTACTAACGTTAATATACTTTAAAATCCTAGGCTGTCCCCTAGTGCCTAGCAATGATATTTTACTGATTCCATTTTTAATAGAAAAATTTTCCATTTTAACCATAAGAAACCTCTGTCAGCTAAGAATAAATAGTACGAGCCTCACTTTTTAAAAACTCTAATAATTTTTGGAATAAAGGGCAAACTTACTTTCCCTAGGAAAAAAAGCATTTCCTTCTGGAGCTGCCAGCCATGGATACAATTCTGCTGTTAGAACTGAACAGTGAAATATGTGTCCTTAAAATGAGGGAGCCAAGACTGAGTAAAATGAGGGAGCCAAGACTGAGTATGCCTTTAATTAATGTAAAATAAAGTGGAATTATCAATCTTTGTTTCCTGTACAACAGTAATGTTTCCATTACTGGCTCTTATACATATTAAGTTAAGATTAGCTAGATATTCTCACTTGGCCAGCTCCTAAGCAGGTCTGTTCCAGTTGTTAATTGATTTTTCTATTTTTATTATTGTTTTCATAAATGCAAGAAGATTTGTTGAATTTCTTCTGGACATTTCTGTTATTATTTGGAACTTCAATTTTGCTTTTATCATATTGGAATGGAAGACAAAGAAATAAGGATAGCTAAGAATAGAAAAAACTATAATGAATGTACCTGAATAAACAGTTGGTTCTCCTATAAGGTTTGATTTGAATGCCAGCAATGTTTTGTCAGCTAAACCACAAGCCAATAATTCTCCATTTCCTAGAACAACGAGAACAGCAAATTAATCTAGCATAAATAAAAAATGCCAAAAAATATAGAGAGACATATTCTCAGGCCAGAGTTGGCCATGTGTAAACACAGAACTGGTTAGCTTTAAGGTTTCCAAGTGCTACATCAAGTAACTATTAATATTAATAAGCCATAGATAGTTGTCATTCCCCCCCCGCCCCCACATACCTGAATACTGAATACAGCATATGGCAGTTGGTTTATCGGTTACATTAATTTGCCTCACACTTTCGGTTGGAGGAGATTTTCCAAGTGGATAGTCTTCCTTCTTTCTTCTTCAATAATAAAACAAAATTAAAAAGAGAAAAAAGCAATTAGTGAAGCAAGAATAAAGGAGATTTAGCATTTCACTCTATACTACCAATTTTAAATTGTGGCAGATATACCACAAATAGAACAGAACAGAACAGAATAGAATAGAATACTTTATTGGCCAAGTGTGATTGGACACACAAGGAATTTGTCTTGGTGTAAATACCCTCAGTATACGTAAAGAAAAGCTACATTCGTTAAGAATCAAGAATCATATCATCTGCCAATTCTTGCAACTTAAATTCTTCCTTTTTAATTTTCATCCCTTTTTATATTCTTTTCATCTCTAATATTTCCGTTTAGCACTTCCAAGGTTAACACAAACAACAGGGGTGATAGTGGGCACCCTTGTCTTGTTCCTTTTCTTATATCATTCTAGTTTTCATTCTAGAAGACCCACTAGAAACAGCATCAAAATTGATAGAAAAGATAGAGACATATGGAAAGGTGGCTGGTTTGAAAATAAATAAAGATAAGACAAAGATCTTGACACAGAATATTCTATCAAGACAAAAGGAAGAACTGGCAGATCTATTGAAAATCCAGGTTACGAATAAGATCAAATATTTGGGGATACACTTGACAGCAACATGCAGTACATTAAAAGAGAATAATTATATCAAACTTAACCAGCAGATAACACTAGATTTGGCGAAATGGGAAAATTTACAACTGTCATTAATAGGGACAATATCAACAATCAAGATGAATATACTACCCAGAATTTTACATTTGTTTCAAACAATTCCAATTAGGCTTGGAAAAGATTACTTTGAAGATTTAAATAAAATTGTGTTGAAATATATATGGCAAAGTAAGAAAGTGGGAATAAAGTTAAAACTTTTGCAAGATGCTAGAATAAGAGGAGGATTTGGTTTGCCTAATTGGGAGTTGTATTATCAAGCTACAAATTTGATGTGGGTTAAGGAATAACATTAAGAAATACCAGATTGTTGATATTAGAAGGACATGATCTGTTGTTGGGGTGGCATGCTTTTCTAAGGTATAAAGGAACTAAAACACAGGGGTATTTTAGAAGACATTATATACGGGAGTCTCTGTGGTTAAACTGGGAGAAGACTAAAAGACAATGTTATTTGAAAATTCCAGTCTGGCTATCGACTATTGAAGCATTTTCTTATCCTATAATATATAAAAAGGAACAAACAGTTAGATATGGTGAAATATTGAATGAAAAGGGTGAACTTAAATCTATACAAAAATTAGAGGAACAAGGTATAAAGATGAATTGGTTTTCATATGCACAAACACATTCAAGGTATGATAAAGACTCTAAAACAGAAGGTTTTTATGATAAACTGACTTAGATAAGATTTTGACAGGTACTGATGAAAAGGTGATTTAAAAATTGTATGGATGTTTGTTAGAAATTAAACTAGAAGAAGAACAAGTTAAAGAAACAATGATTGTTTGGGGGAAGAATGTTGGATATGGGATTGATCTAGAGAAATGGCAAAAATTGTGGTCTCAAAATTATAAAATGACAATGTCAACAGCATATAAAGAAAATTTGTATAAGAAGTTTTACAGGTGGCATTTTCCCCCAACAAGAATAGCAAGAATGTTCAAGAATAAATCTGAAAAATGTTGGAAATGTCATCAGACACCTGGCTCATATTACCATGTGTGTGGACATGTACAGATGCTAAAAAATATTGGACTAAAATCCACATGTGGTTGGAAAAAATGACAAAAAAGCATATAGATTTGAAACCAGAGATATTTTTATTGGGAATTTTACCTGAAATATATAGTAAAGAACCGAAATACCTGATTGTAAATGTATTAACAGTAGCTAGGATTGTATTTGCTAAAAATTGGAAAAATGAGAAAATACCATCACAGGAGGAAATCATTAAGAAAATATTGGAATGTGCTGAAATGAGTAGACTGACATTTGAAATCAGAGAACAAGATGATAAACAATTTTATAAAATGCTGTATGTATATATATTCTATCAATAAAATAAAATAGACAATAAACAATAAAATATAGTAATGAATTATGTAGATTCTTAGAAAATAATAAATGTATAAAGATGTATTCTTTTCTTATTATATCTACAAAATGATTCTAGGATAGATTTGAGATGATAATATGAACTGTCATAAAACAAATAAAGTAAAATATGATTATTTCATAAAATATTAACCTATTTAATACTTGACTGAAAATAGGAGAATATATACAATGTAATTGTAATTGAAGACTACGGAATGGAAGCACAAAACAATTTGTAAACCAACCGGCATGCTGTATGTATATATATGGAAGATGGCTTGATGTTTTTATGTTTTGTTTGTTTATGTTTGTTTTAAAAACCAATAAAAAATTTAAAAAATAAAAAATAGAAAAAAATAGAAAAAAAAGACTCATAATGTACAACACTTAATGATAGTCATAGGGTACAATCAACAATCAAATGATAAATTGTTGAAAAAAAATTAACATTTTGCTTGATTGTGTTACACTATTACTGCAGGATAATGCTTTTGGTATGAAACATGTTTTTGTATTCATTGAACAATTATACTACTTACTGTCTCCAACTTCTCTTGTATTCTGATGGCAACCTGCTGTGTTTTATTTTTGAATTTGGAGAGAACATGAGCAAGCTACAACAGAAGGAAAAAAAAGGCTCTAATATAGATGATAATATTTATTACTCTGTTATCCAGAAAATCTCAGAATCAGGAAAAAAAATACCAAGTCCATATGAAAGAAGGAAGAATTAATACCTGCTCCATCTCTAATCAATTATCAACTCTTTCTTCTAACACAATTTTATTTTTATAAAATCCACTGATCAACTGCATGGGTGAATTTAATACAATGTGATGCTTGGACATAATTACATGTATAAAACTAGGAGATTTTTTTTAAAAATTGGTCAGTTACTACTATCCATATCAACAAGTACATTCTACTATATGTTGTACAATAACAAAAGTTTGAAAGTAAGTGTAAATATTTTAACAGTACTGCCAATACATACTTAAATTCATGGGCTTCCCCCACTCCAAATAACTCCCTCTCTCACACTCATATCTAGCTTGCCTTCACTCCAAATGACTCTTGAGCAGAATCAGAAATAACAACATAATACAAAGGAAAACAGCTGCAGAATAGTCACTGTCAGGGAACAAAAACATTTGTCCGCATAGCTAGCAATTCCCAGAGTCTGTTCTTCTATCTCAACCCAAGGCACCAAGAAAATCCCAAATTTTCAGGGAACACTTAAGGATGGACAAGTTCTAGGCAGATCTCCAAGGGAATGTTATCCGAAAGGGCAGTTACAATGACAAAGAAAGCCATTTCTGGCTCCCACTAGATGAAGTTACTTAATTGAACCTGAAGCAAGCCAGCCCTGTCAGAACATGGAGGAAAGGCAAACTTGGTAAGAGACGGGCAATCTCTGAGATAACTATACCTTATACCCTGTGGGGATGAATTTTTGATATGTTTTGATTGACAGAACTACTGCTATTTAACAAAGGAGGGAGGATTACCAGTAAGAGAATCACAATTGGAATCTTTTAACACTTTTATACTTTATGATTTAAGAATATGGTTCTAAGTTTACAAGCAATGCTCCTTGAAATCTTAATTCTAATTAAGATATCAAGGGGTTGAGGAAACATTTCATTTTTGGCTCTATTCCACCACTAAAAAAAAACAAGGTAAAATATGCAAAATAGAAAAATGGATTAATATGCTAACACTGTTCTATTTGCAGAACAGAATTTAAACTTGGATGATTTTAACTCAGAGTCCAAATTTTAATTTTATAAAAATAATTAAGCATTGCTTCAGATTAGGTAGTTGGATTCAGCTTCCAAAATTAAAAGGGGGGCATAATGAATAAATGTATAATTTTACTAATGAGCGGTTATACAAATTAATTTAACATTTTAGGCAATCGTAGTACTAAAAACTTTGGACTTATCTGCATGGTTATATTAAATTAAATTAGTATTTTAAACTCTTTATTCCTTATCTTTCAGGCCATTTTACATTAAAATACCAAATCTTTATTTAACTAAAAGAGACAATTTTTATTTATTAACCTTCTATGCCTCCCAACTTGCCAAAGTGACTATAGGTTGCTTACATTCATTCAATAAAAATAAAATATTAAAATAATAAATTGTTATTAAAAGCGACAAACTAAATTTACCAGCGTAATTTGCACTCACTGTGGTGCTGATGTATAACCTGATGATTTAATTTTGTTATGAAAAACCAATGGCTTGTCTTTTATATGTTTTTTTGTACCTAAAGTAAGAAACATCTATAGTTAATATAAATTTCATAGTTAAGTTTCAAGAAATACATATACAGAGATAAACTAAAAGTATACTTTGGATATCCTGAGCCACATATATCAGGTAATGGGACTTCTACTCATACAAATAGCACATTGATCTGTTAATATTGTTCATTCCAGTGTTACATGGACACAAAAAGATATGTAACTTTGTTCCCACTACATTTGTTAGACAAAATAATTCTGTTTTTAAATCATCATTTTAAGCTAATCTTACATTATTAAAAATATTTCCATGGTGTTTTAGAGACAAAACAATATGTAACATCAAAAGACATCAGACACAATAGAACTGATTTTCTAGCGTAAGAGTAGTTCACCAATTGCTGATGATAAGCTGAGTTTCCTTTCAGTTCACCAGAGGTTCTTTAACCTGGATCCTTATAGTGAGATGGCCGGACTTAAAAGTTTAAAGACTTATTTCAGATTGGTACATGGACTTCTTGTGTATTTTCCAATGATTTCAATGGAGAAAATACATTCAGATCTATTTGTATGTATATTTTCATTGAAAAGAATGGGAAATTTTATGTGGGAAACAGGGTTCTCTTTCTCAATATCTATGATTCCATATCTGCAAAGGGTAACAAAATACAGAGTAACACTGAGATGCTATGCTGGCTTCCTCTTAAATATCTTTCTATTTATTTCTCTGGGTTAGAAATTCCACATTTTAAAAATGGCAGGAGAAAGTTTGTGCCTCAAGAGTTTTTTTGCTACATTTCAGAAGTTGATGCATGTAGACAGAATTAAGTATTTTGGTAAGATACTTCTTTGACACCCTCAATTAAATGTAGCCACTACAGAATCTATTACATTGGTACTAATAGTGTAGTGAGTTTGTCAGTACACTTCATGTACTTTAGATGATGAGATATAGACAAGAGTAAGTTGGCTTCCAGGGAAACCTGTAATTAGTTTGGATAGAATATCATGAGCAAGCTTGGAGTAAATTGAGGTTTTGGTTGCATTTGGGGTATAATGGCAAAACGGGCTGGTATTAGCAGGGAATGCTGCATGGGGCTTAGGATGAACAATGGCTGTTAGAGTAAATAACTTTTCGTTCAAGAAAAGTTGTTATGTGAAAGCTCTGACTCATCAAATACATGTTTGTCAGCAGGGGTCAATATTTATGGACCTATCTGGTAAATACCATGGCATATAGTGACTTGGGATGGATAAGGAGTAAATATTTCAGAATATGAAATAATGAATAAAATGGGGGGAAGGTAAATATAGCTGACATTCAGCCCTCAATTAGTTTCCTCCTTTGCTCAATCTTTGCTTTGGGATGTTATTTTCAATGTATTAGTCGAAGGTTTTAATCACTGCAGAATTTAATAAATTTACCTGTTTTATTTACAAGTTTGGCTTTTTCCTTCTTCAGGTACAAGGGAGAGGTCACAAGAAGAGAACATCTGAAACCACAAATCAAAAGATATTATATATTTAACTACAAAATGCTCACAACAATTGACAGAAAAGCAATACTAGAGATATTGCTTTCAGGATAAATGGTTAATTCACTACAGATAATAATACATCCCTGGTACTGCAATCACCTATATTATTTATCTATGAACAGCTCAAAATGCAGTCAGAATGAAGGATTTTCCCATTTGATACATTTTTACAATCACACTTTACTTGGTAGAAATGTAAACTGACAAAGGGACCTTAAGCAAGCTACTTTTCTTGGCTTCAGGTGCCTGTTTACCAGTTACTCACCTTATTTGGATATTGCAATCTAAATAATACAATTTTATAATTAGATAACCTAAACTGAAGATAACCTACATTAAATATATTCAGTGATTTAAAATGCAGTATAAATAGCACTTATTGTTGTTTTCCACCAAACACTACTGTTACACATAGTTCTTGTTTTGAGATTATACTTGGAACTGGAAATTCAGTTATTAAGCAAAATAGTCTAAGTGATGAAGAAGCTTCTTGGATGAGAAGCACAATGTTTTCAAAGAAAAAACAGAAAGTTCAGTTGCTGCTTGAAAAAGCACTTTTGGGATAGTCTAAGTCATGGGCATTAAACTTGCGGTTTCACGTTGCCATCATGTGATGTATCGCAACATTTTTTCCCTTCACAGAGCTGGGGTGGGCATGGCCTGCCCATGATGCAGCTGGCCTGCAGGCCGCCAGTTTGACACCCCTAATCTAAGTGATCTTACTTCAGCTGTTTTACAGACCTATGAAACACTCCCTAAACAAGGCAGTCGCTAAATGAAAACTACCTATATATTATTCATAAAAAGACATATTTCTCAATCCTACAGTTGTGAAAAAGATGTTTTTCCATTACAATATTTTAAATTAAATTTGTTACCTAGATACACAATTGCTTGTCTGTTAGCAATATATTTTCATAAATGTGGATGAGATAAGTCTAAAGTCTCATTTCAAATATTTATCCACAGCTTAAAAACAAAATATGTAATGGTATACAAAATCAACAATGATAAAGAAAACAAACCAATTGATAATTTTCCAGGAGATCTCTAGTTTTTAATCCTTTTCACTCATTTTTTTACCATTTCTGCTGTTATTTCTGTTTGATTTGATTTTTACTAAATTCATCTTTTCATCCTTTTATCTCTATTCTTCTAATAGTTCTAATAATACTCTAATCTCTTATGTAATTATTACTATTATTTATTAAATTATATGCAGCCTGATTTCCAGTGACTAGAACCTCTACAAATTGTCAGAAACATTTTCAAACAAAGAAACTATAAAAAAGAATAAAAATGGCAGAAATAACATCAATAAATAAAAAGAGCTGAACTTTAAATGGGGTTAAGTGTAATGATCCTTTACCTTGCAACAGCAGAAAAGCCTTCTTCCCTTCCATTTAAAAGGAGACTATTCTGCTGGCATCTCAACAGAGCAGCAACGTTAACTTCCAGTAAAACTATTTTGTTCTCCAACATAGAAGTTAGCAAACAGAAAACCTGCAGAAAGACAGTCACAAAGCATTTCTCTCTTTAACGCAAATAAATCCCTCCCTGATAAAGAGATTTGCATCAAGGAATGGAATTCTACTCATTGAAGATCCATCTGGGAAGATGGATAGAAGGTTAAAAGGGTACAGCTTTGGTCCAAGAATATGAGACACAGGCCAAAAAGGAATGGGCTTTTCTTGTACTGAGAGAATAGGGAGAAGGAAGGCTAAGTCTCAGTCTTGGTGAAAGGTGCATTAAAAGGGGTCTGTGGGAGAGCTTGTTGTTGATGAACCTCTTGGGGGAATGGGTACATTAATTAGGCTGGGGTATGGAATTATTTTAAAGGTGTATGTTATTGTTTTGGTCAGAGGACGATATCGCTACCCTCCACTCTCTTCTAGCACTGATGATGTTACTTAGTTGGGGTAATGAAACCTCCGCAAGAAAGCAACCAAGCTCAGAGAACACTAAGGACCCCACATCTCAACCCTGAGCTACAAACATTCTCCTTTGTTGATAATGTATCTCAGTGGAGAGTCTCAAAGGCAGCTTGAATGGGAGAGGCAGCCAGGAGGGACCATATTTGGGAGAGGCAAATTACAGCATCGATGGACAGAGATATCATGATGGGAGGCAAGGATTTGTTAATACAGAAGAAAGGTTGGAGAGTTTGCAGCCATTTTCTACTTTTAGCCCTCCAGTCTCCAATCTTAAACAAGGTAATGGAATTGCTGAGAGGCTTGGACTCAAAACGGATGCTGTAGAACTTTAGGTAAGTTGACGACTGTATTGTTGGATGATCTACTGTATATACTCGAGTATAAGCCGAGTTTTTCAGCACATTTTTTGTGCTGAAAAGACCCCCCTCGGCTTATACTCGAGTGACAGATTCCCCTCTGAAAAAAAAATGGTGTGGAGCTCCGGAGCTGGGCAGCCGCTTCCCTGCTTCCGTGTTTCCTTTGCAACTTGTAAGCATGGGGGTAATCGGAAGCAGAAAAGTTCTTGCATGGTTTCCAAGGCGTCCCCTCTCCCCCAAGTCCTACCTCCTCCCCCCACCTCCGACTCAATAAGCAGCGCTATTAATTTGGACTACCGGTAGCAGGTTGCTGACTGGCTGCTCTTCTTTGCTCGCCCTGCTCTTTGCAAATGCAAAATCCCGGAGGCCTCTGTGGTTTTTGCATTTGCAAGGTGCAAAGCGGCGGCGGCGGATCACGCATGCTGGAAAGGAGAGAGAGAGAGAGAGAGAGAGAGAGAGAGAGATCATAAGAATGGCTCTTGCTTTTTTCGCCAGCCCCAGGCACTGGGGGCTTGCAAGGGAGAGAGTGACTCCTGCCTCCCACTGTCGTCATCATCTTCTTCTTTTGGGTTAGTGAATCAATTAAACCTTTCATGATAGTGAGATCGTTCCCCAAATTTCCCTTAAATCAGGGAAGAAATCAGAAACAAACCTTTGGACTGAGAATAAGCCTGTTCCTATGATGCCATTTTTGTTCACTGCAGTGTGAAAAGTGTGAAAAAACTCACTGCAGTGTGAAAAGTGTGAAAAAACACACTTCTTTTTTCTTCATCTTCTTGTTCCCTATTTACTGGTCTCTTTCAAAGAGGAAATTGTGAACATCAAACTTATTCTCAACTGTCCTAGTGAAAGTTTTAATTAGATAATAATTTCCTCCCCGTGGCATTTTTAATGCCAAGAGTGAATGGAGTTAACTTGCAATTGAGTATTTATGCCATGTTAATTCATGCCATCTTGACACTAATGAAAGTAACATGCCTTTTTAGTTATATTTCATAGAAGTCTCCTATTACTTCAGTGCTATTACCATTATCACTGGGGCTTCTAAAACCTAAAGAAAATTAAAACGTTGAAATGTGAAGTTTGCAACTTTTAGTTCTTAACTAAAACCTGGATTGAGCCTTATCCTGGTTTATTTTCTGATTTGGATCATGACATCTAGGTGAAACTTATTGTTGAGACCATATTGGTTTTGTTGACTCTCTTTTCCACTTACAGAGCTAGTTTACTGTTTTTCTTTGAAATAAATATTCAAAAACATTTAACCTACTGATGCCTCGATTAATGTAATTTTATTGGTATCTATTTTTATTTTTGAAATTTACCAGTAGCTGCTGAATTTCCCACTCTAGGCTTATACTCGAGTCAATAAGTTTTCCCAGTTTTTTGTGGTAAAATTAGGTGCCTCGGCTTATATTCGGGTCAACTTATACTCAAGTATATACAGGGTATTTATTGTAGAAAGATGTATTTTATTCTTTTTTTAAAATTTATTTTTATTATATGTACTTGTAAACCATTTAAATTTGAAGCAATATATATCACACCAGAAATAAAACAAAGTTAATTTGCAGTTTTTAAATTAAAAGGGATTGTCCTATATTGAATATTTTAAAATGAGTTTCTCACCTTTCCATTGACTGCCTTCCTCGTTAAAGCACAGGATCCAGCAATCTGAATACTAAGACCAGTGAAGTCTTCACATGCAACCATATATAAGTAAAACAAAAAATTTAAAAAAAAATCACTAAAACAACAATGAAATCCTGAGTCCATTTCATTTCTTATATGTGTTTTAGATAATAGACAAATTATTTTAATTTCAACCTTTGTGAAAGGAAACAAATTAATATTTTTCTAGTGCAATAATCAGAAATTAAGAAACAAATGTTAATGAACTATTTATTGTTCACTGCAAACAGAAATCAAAGTCTTTCATATATGAAATTAAAGTAATATTTATTTATTAAAAGAAAGGAAAAATAGTATGGATTATATTTAATAAGTAAATATACACCACCTTTGTAATGTAAAGCAGCTTCCAACTCAAAGTTTGCATTGTTAATTATGAATAAACCAGTAGAACTTCCAATCCACAAATACTGTGTACCCTCAGCAGGAAATCTACATTAAAACAAGGTATACTTTTAAAAAAATCCTCAAGTAACTTCATTTTATAACATGTCATGGCTTTTTGAACTGGAAATTGCACACAGATAGAATTTCTAACCACTTAAGTTCTGTACTCTTCTTCCAAAAACCATCTAAATCTTTTTTTAAAACCTGCTCAACATTGTAAGCGAATTACTTAGAATTAATGATCACAACAGAGTCAGAAAAAGAAGGCTGTAAGCCTAAATGAGATACAATTCAAACAATGCTATTACTTCACTACAAGATGCAAGATGAGACTTTTCAAATCTCTTTTGATTTGTCTGATTTATAAATGGCATATTTTTATTAAAATCTTTGGTATTCTATATTATTTAATTATCACAATATCCCCATTATATAATAACCTTTAAAGTTATAGTAATATTTAAATCTATTACAGAATATTATATACATCTGTCTGATTATTTTTACATATTATAATGTAATTTAAAAAAACAGTGTATTATAAAATAATTGCATGTGTCTAGCTTAATGAAAAGAAATATTAGGGGTGACATGATAGCAGTGTTCCAATATTTGAGGGGCTGCCACAGAGAGGGAGGCAATCTATTCTCCAAAGCACCTGAAGGCAGGACAAGAAGCAATGGGTGGAAACTAATCAAGGAGAGAGGCAACCTAGAACTAAGAAAACATTTCCTGACATTGAGAACAATTAACCAGTGGAATGGCTTGGCTCCAGAAGTTGTGGGTACTCCAGCACTACAAGTTTTCAAGAAGAGATTGGACAGTCATGTGCCTGACATCGTGTAGGGTTTCCTGTCTAAGCAGTGGGTTGGACTAGAATACCTCTAAGGTCCTTCCGTTATTTTGTTATATTGCCTGCACTTTAGCTGAAGAACCCACTCACCTAGATTCTTTATCACCAAAATTTGCTGGATTATCACAGTGTTCAATTCTAAGGATTGGAAAGGTAGTTTCAACCGCATCTTCTTCTTCTATATTGCTTATAATACATGTCTGAGAAATATTCTGAATCTGATCTGGAAAACACAGAGATGTCATTATAACAGAAATAGATTAACTAAGATATTCCGTGAAAACTACAAGAAAGTGTAGCTCAATATGTTTTATTAAGTGTGGATTCATTGGACAATTTCTGGGGTGACATTTTCAATTATTTTACAGTGAGATATACTGCATTTATAGTTTTGGAACAATGTGCGGTTTAGCTTCAGTTTTGGAACAAAAAATATGGTACAAATTCAGCAAAACATATCACTGTAAGTCATTTATCTTGCTGTCTTCACTGTCTTCATGCTCTGGTACATTGATATAACAAATTTAATTAACAAACAGCAGGGATATTTCAATTTTTTTCTAAATTTCTGAGTTATCCTTACTTTTTTGCATCCTTTATGAAAGCACTTATTTGAACAATAGAATTAATATCTTCCAATCAAAAAGTGTAAATTAGAACAGCACCTATTCAGTTAAATTATTTGCTAACCAGTAAAATTGTAAAATGTTTGTGTAATATTACCCAAATGCTCAAACTTTGTTATTTTGTTGTAAAACTTTTTTCTCTCTTTCTTGAAATTAATATGAATTACACAGCGATACTTATGTCCACTAATCAAGCTGAATATCCACAGCTGAAAGAAAAAAAAATACAATCACTGCAGCTTACTTTTCAACATTAATCACTGTAAAAATATTTTTAATTTTATTATCCCTGTTCAGTAGTAAGCATGTGGCCACTGAATTGAGATACCACGCCACATCAGTAAAATGGTTACAGTTAACATTCTCAGTTTCTTAAATGTCACCAATATTTGGCAACCAACTTTTTCTATTCAAAGTTTAGTTTGGGCTATACAAATTACAATAAGAATAAAGAAAAGGCCAGTCATTTTGATTGGGTTATAATGTGCAATTTAAATTCACTTTTGTTGACTTGCCTTTTACAATTGCAGTATAAAATAAGCAAACGCTATGTATGGAAAAGGTTAATATATTTTTCTTGGAAGTCAGTATTTAAAAACTGAAAAGAGAAAAAGAGTGAACTATTTTCCATATATAATGATATTTTGGGAATTTCTTTTTTTTAAAAAAAGTTTTAAAAACAATTTTATTGACAAATTTAAGAACGTACAATTTCAAAAATACAGAAACAATAACATAGATTTTTACATTTGTTGTCGAATTTGGTGAGTCCTAAAAATCGTTATTGGCTAGTACTAGTTACATATTCACACCTTATCACATCCTAAGTACTAAATAATTCACAATATACTCCATTTATTTTCACGTTGGATTATAACCACTCTTCTATTACTAATACATTCATGTTTTTTAACTAATAAACACAAAAATATTATAAATAGCTAATATTAATAATAGTAGTAACAAAGAAAAGAAGATTTAAAACCTTTAATTGTACTTAATATATTATGAATCACTGGATATAATTTGTATCTTAGGTTCATTTATATGTTTCCCCTTTTATTGTCTACCCACTTATGCCATTTGTCCCATATCCGATAATAATCTGTATCCTCCTTCCCGTTAATTTTAAGCGTAAGCCTCTCCAGTTGGGCACATTCATATGTTTTCTGAATCACAACCTGCATTGGATTTTTCCAATATAGTGCTAGTGAGATACGTGTCGCAGTTAATAAATGGATGGTCAGATATTTTACTTTAGCGGGGTAGTCCCCTTTAATTATTCCCAACAAAAATAGCTCCGGTTTCCACTCCAGTCCACTCTCTATAATTTCTTCTGTCCACGTTTTAATTTTTAGCCAATATTTCTTTATCTCAGGGCAGGTCCACCATGAATGAAAGTATGTACCAAATTTCCCTTTACATTTCCAACAGCAAGGATTGGCTGTCGGAAATATTTTGGCCAATCTGGAAGGCGCCAGATGCCATCTGTACATCATTTTGTATACATTCTTCTTGTGCGCTTCTGATTTGGTTAGTGTCAAATTTTTCTGCCAGATTTCTTCCCAGTCATCCAGATCAATGCTATAACCAACCTTTTTTTCCCAAGCCAACATGGGATCTTTCACAATTTTCTTGGCCATTTCATATTCTAATAAATAATTATATAATTTGGAAATTGAGCTTTTCTTAGGATTTAGAAGTATTTTATCCAAATATGTAACTTTTACCTCAATTCCATATTCTTTCATGTCTTTATTGTATCTCAATTTTATTTGAAAATATGACCAATTATCAATAGCTATCTCTTGTAATTCTAATTCCTGTTTCATTTTAATTCTTCCCTCGCTATCTAATATTTGATAGTATTTAAGTTTTTTACTGATGTCCATCGTGTTTAAATGAAACATTGCCTCCATCGTTGAGAACCACCTTGGGATTTTAGTGTAATGATTCTTTCTTATTTCAGTCAAAACTTTAATTAAAGACTTTTGGAATACATGTCTGGTAAAATATAAATTGTTTTTACTATTCGGGTTCCATAAAAATGCATGCCAGCCTAGCTGTAAATCATGTCCCTCCAATTGTAAAATCCTGTTATTCCTTAAGTCAATCCAATCTTTTATCCACACTAATGCTGCTGCTCTATAATATGTCTCTCAGACAGGTAGTCCGAATCCACCCCTGCTTTTATTATCTTGTAAATAATTTGTTTTATTCTTGTTTTCTTCTTTGCCCAGATAAATATCATTACAATTTTATCCAAATCTTTAAAGAATTTTTTGTCCAGCAATATTGTGATTGTTTGAAATAAATATAATATTTTAGGTAGAACATTCATTTTAACTGTTGCTATTCTATCTAATAATGAAATTTGCATCTTATTCCAATTTTCCAAGTCCTTTTCAATCTGTTTCAGTAATTTAGTATAATTATCCTCTCACAGGTTTAATGTTCTAGCTCTTAACCAGATTCCTAAATATTTAATTTTATTTACAATTTGTAATCCCATCTTTTCTTCCAATTTTTTTTTTGTTTACTATTTGTTATGTTTTTAACTAACATTTTGATTTTTTTCCTTATTAATTTTTAATACTGCCAATTTACCGAATTTGTCTATTTCATTTAGTAGAGCTTGTCCTGAGCCTATTGGGTCTTCTATGACAAAAACCATATCATCTGCAAAGGCTTGTAATTTATATTCTTGGTTTTTAATTTTAATTCCTTTAATTTCCTTATTTAATCTAATTCTATCCAGAAAAGTTTCCAAAATAGTTATAAAAAGCAGAGGTGAAAGCGGACATCCCTGTCTGACCCCCTTCCTTATCTCTAATGATTTGGTAATTTCTCCATTTAACAATACATTGGCCTTTTGTGTGGCGTAGATTGCAATCAACATTTTTATGAAATTATCTTCAAAAGCCATCAAATTAATCTGCTTTTTCATAAAGTCCCAATTTAAATTGTCAAAGGCCTTTTGTGCATCTAGGAAGACCAAAGCCATTTGGCTTCCTGGATGCTTTTCATAATATTCCTATATATCTATTATTGTTCTTGTGTTATATCTGATCTGCCTCATGGGAAGAAATCCATTTTGGTCCGGGTGAATTTTATTACTAAGTATTTTCTTTAATCCTTCTGCCATTACCGCCATAAAAATTTTGTAGTCTGAGTTTAAAAGGGATATTGGTCTGTAATTCTTTGTTTGGTTGGCATCTGTGCCCTGTTTCAGAATTAATGTTATGTATGCCTCCTTCCAAGATTCTGGTATTTTAGCATCCAATAATGCCGCATTGCAAACCTCTAATAATATTATCTCTAATATATCACCTATTTCTTTGTATAGCTCATTTGGTAACCCATCTGGGCCTGGCATTTTATTTCTTTTTTGTTTTTGAATTGCCACCTTTAACTCGTCTAGAGTTATTTCTTTGTTCAACACCTCTTTTTTGTCCTCTGATATTGGATAGGGAGTTCCTTCTTTCAAGTATTCTTCCACTTTATTTAAGTCAACTGCTTCTTGTTTATAAAGATCTTCGAAGTACTCTCTTAAAATTTTCTTTTTTTTCTCCTGGTCTGTCCCTATTATTCCATTTTTATCCTGTAATTGGTATATCATTCTTTTCTGATTTTCTTTTCTTAATTTATATGCCAGCCACCTTCTGGGTTTGTTTGCATGTTCGAAATAGTTTTGTTTTGTATATAATAATTTTTTAATTAGTTCCTCTTGATCTAAAATATTCATCTCATGTTTAACTGATGCTAGTTCATTTCTGATATACTCATCTCCCGGGGTTTCCATTTGCTTATTTTCCAATTTCTCTATCTTTTTTGATAAAGCTTTCCGCTTCCTCTCTCTTTCCTTGTTTCTATTTGCTATATAAGCTATCGATATTCCCCTTAAATATGCCTTCATTGTATCCCATAGGTTCTGCAATGAGGTATCCTGTTTTTTATTAAATTTGAAAAAGCTGATCAATTCTTCCTTAACTTTTTGAATATATTCTTTCTCTTTAAGTACTTGGGATTAAGTATTGAAATTTTGGGAATTTCAAGCTACACGTGATACAATTTTAAAAAAATCATGGAAGAAGGCAATGGTCAATTATCTTGTCATTTGGAAATAGATTAATTTGAGACTTCAATAGAAGTTGTGTATGTACTATTGAACTGTGATCTAAACCAGCTCATCGGAAATCAAATATGAATTTTCTATCTATTATAAAAGTAAACTACAAATAGTCACATTGTGCATATACTTATTACCTGTCCATCTGCACAACCAGTGATAATCTGTTTATTTGCTTCATCAATAAAGAGACTTAAAAGAGGAAATGCTGTTTAAAAAAAAGAAGTCCTTCTTGTTATTAATGTATTATAACAAAAACTCTAGCACCACCTATAGTTCATTTAAAACTGTTCTATAATACAAGCAGTCTCCCAGATTAAGACCAACCATTCCTAAATTTGCCTTTAACCTGAATCTGCATAGAAGTCAAAACAAATAAAAATAGACTACCCATGTCTAAAAATGGCAGACTGTGCTATTCTTCCTCAAGTAAACACACTGCTGAAGTTTTCATGAATTGCTGAAAATAGCTATATATTAAGAATGTGCAACTTCAGAGGTTTGAATATCACACCATTCAAACTCATATTAATAGTTAATTAATTAATATTAACTCACTTGTTTTGCAAAATTATGCTGCAGACAAAAGCATGGGTTAAGAACTTAATTTCTTATGTTTTCTGCCTTCCCCTACTTCACAGCTTCTCCATTTCAACTTCTCTCTCTAGAAGCTGCCTCTCAAAAATTTTCAGAGGCCTTTAGCTTGAATACTTTATTTATTTTATTATTTTATTTTATTATTTTATTATATTTATTATATACACATACATACACATCTGATTCCCAGAGATTCTTCATTCGCATGCAATGAATCTTTATGCTTCATATCCTTGCAATGAATTTCTTATGGATAGGAGTACTGTTGAATAGGTAGCTGCAGCATATATATGCTAGCAATAATACTAGCATATATTGTTTTATAAAATGAACATAGGTTGGTAATGAATCATATGCATCTAAATCCTACCTGTTATTACTGCTGATTGATATATTAGCAATCCAATACAGTAATCCCAGACCTTTTGGAAAAAAACATGAGATTAAATAATCAGTTTACAGCACCATGGAAACAACCAATGTGATGCCCTGTAAACAATATACAAGTCAAAATTTCAAATAAATTATTCACTATGTTTCTAGCACTTCTAATCTATGGAATTAGAGCACTTCTAATCTCTGGTGTTTAGAGAAAATTACACCTACAATTCACCTAAAAGGCTTACATTCTCGTGACAATAAAATATCATTATCCTTCAACCAAACATAAAAAAACAAATTTTTCAGAGGAGATTTGCTCTACACTCTTAAAATCTAATAAGTTTTCAACTGATTTCACAGAAATACAGAAAACAAGCAATACAGAATGACCAGAAGTTAATGATATTTGTTAACATTATATAGTTCAGGTTTGTAATACTCCTCCTAATATGAATTGCTTTTCATAATGCTTATTCCTCTGATTTAAAAATCTCCATTTTATAATATTTAAGTATTTTTACTTTTATAAATCTGCAATGAACAGATTTTTAAAAAAGAGAAACATGGCCTTACTTTAAAACTTCTATCTTCTGAAATCGATATAAGTATATTTTTCTCCCAAGTACAAAATTCAGCAGCAGTTACCGGTGCTAGATGGCCTTCTAGTTCAGCAATTATTGCTTCATCCTGACATCAATACAGGGGGAAAAAAAATGTAAATGGCATTTAAAATGTTAAATTTGACAGAATGTGATTATTTATAACATTTTAATAGATGTGAAAAATTCTGATGCTAATATGGTCACCGACAAATTTAACAACCTTGATTGATTTAATCAAACTTAATTAAATTTCAAAGCCACCTTACATATACGAGAGAGAAAAAATCCCTCAACCTTATAGCATATCTCCAAGCAAAGTCACTGAATCACAATTTTGCTTTAGTTATCACTTCCATTAAATATGAAATGAAATTCTGTAGCTACTTTTAGGCTTCTCCCCCATGTCTTCTGTGTTACCCTTACCCTCAATTTTAATATTAGATCTAATATCATTATATATCTAGTTAATTTCAAACTACTTACAAAAGCTTTGTACCATTCACATTTAAATTAAATCAAAATAATTCACAGCTTAGTTGTTGGACTACAGATGTCCCATGGTGGTGTTTCTAGATGTAACCCCCCCCCTTCCCCCCGCTGCTAGCAAGTTTGGATTTACCTCATTTACATAGAGTAGCTTTATCTGTCAGTGTTGGGGGGGGTGTGTGCTATTCTCCTTGATAGTTTTTGATCAATGATCATTGAGCTTCCAGCAAGCAGTCAAGAGCCCCAAAACCAAGATGACACCGATCTGTATAATTTACATCATATTCTAAGTAGTATATAGGCTAATTACATAATATTTTATAATAATCAGAATGAGGATAAAGAGGGTGTCATCTTGTATTATTTCCCTTAGACTTTAATTTGCCACAAAGGCACAAATAACAAGCAAATTACACATAGGCATTAACTAATCAAAGGCATGGATGATCTGTAACCTACTCAATGTTATTGTTACAGTGTGATTCTTCTTCTCTCAACATGTGGAAGTCTGAATAAGTTTATTATCTTTATCCTTGAATAAAGCAACATAATCAGAGATAATCTGACTTGTAGTTCATAGTTTCCTTTCGACTGAGGAAGGATATTACGTAACAAAGTGGGTCTGGCTTATATTGTGAAGCTGGCACTTTGATCTTGCTTATACAAAAGATGAGAAAATATGCATTGTCAAGCAAGCAGTTTTATTGTTCTATGGGGTTGCAAAGATTATTGGGAATGCCTCCTAGTATTACCACATTGTCTGTTACTTTGAAAAAAAGCCTCTTCTTTTACAAAATGATAAAAACAGCTTTCAACTTTTGCTTATTCTATGAAACAGCATATGTAAATAAATTATTTACATATAATGTTTCATAGAATTTATAAAGTATTTATTTTACAAACTGTGCATGCAATCGAACTGTGAAAAACATTTTAAAATGAACCTACAGTAGAGCTGTGAAAAGCATTTGGAATGGAAGCGTTGTCAATTACACTGCTCAATATTTTCCACTACACTAAAGCAGTGGAATCCGCTGGAGGGTAGGATGCAAAGGCTATTCGAAAGCTCTGTGGGCGTAAACACTAGTGGGAATTCCAGTGGAAGCCATTTCTAATATGGTTTTACCTTTGCATTTAGCACGTAGATTCGATTACCAGCACATACTGCCACAGTCTGATCATCTGGACTAAAACGAACATAAAGCACCATCCCCAGAAGGGTTCCTATCACAGTACCTTGTGGCATTAACCCTGCCGTAATTGAAACAAATCATTAAATTATTAAAAATAATTCCATCAACTGAAGGGTCAACAATGATAAGTAAGTAAACAAATATCCTAATATCATACAAATGTTCTGAAAAGATTAATAACGTAGTTATATCTTAAAGAACTTCTTGCAACATCCTATTTGACTTCTCAGAGTATGGCTCACTGAGGTCAGTCAATTTATACTATATCCCGGTAAGTGGATTGAGAGGTACAACTAAAGCAGCTAAATTGTTCGTGTTGCCCTTCCAGACTTGGCTAGAAATTCAAGAAAAAATCAAATCTGCACATTGCATACAAACATGACTTTGAATTTATTATTATTATTATTATTATTATTATTATTATTATTATTATTATT